GTAACTGTCTTTAATGATTACTCGGAGGTTTGTGACGTATACATACATATTTATTTTGTATCTATACATACACAATTATTGTAAGTAGGATTATGTATGTATCACACCCCCCCCCCCCTTATATGAACTGTATGGTATGCAAGTAGTTAGAATTGTTCTCCCACTTTTCCTAACGCAGGCAACAATGCAAGACCACGATCACCAACAACCAATTAGTAGATTCCATTACATTCCACTTATTCAGACGATATCTCCCCCTCCCCCCCCCCCCCCTTACCACCGCCCCTATAGCATCATGACAAGACTAATGAATGCTATAATACAGAGAAAAAAAGAGAATACCGAATCGATATAGGGCTTTATCCAACCATGGTGTTGCCCCTGAACCTGATTGAGAATCCGATCGGAGTATCTGTGATTAGGTCATCGGTAAAGGACATCCTGCCAATTGAATTAGTCTGATGGCATTCTCGATGCTCCGATTAAAATGCCAGATGGAAGACGCGTACATTACGATGGATAGTTGGATACAATATACTTGGGATCTTCATTATCACCAAATTTTCTCCACGTATACGTCCCAATGAATTACAGATAGATACATTAAAGTACTATACTGTGTTGGATTTTGAATTAGTGAGCAATTAAAGATTTTGCCATTATATCATCCTAATTATCGATGTACTAACGTTACTTATGCAATGACACTAGAGCTATTATTTTTTCGATCTTGTATCTCTCTTTTGGGGAGATTGGGGAGACCCCCCCCCCCCCCTCCGCCGCCCTCATCCCAAATGAATAATTTCAAATAATATCTGCTTGAGTGCCACGATCGGCTAACTCGCTAGACTTCGTTCAGATTCACATGCATAAATCCTATTCGCTAAACAAAGTGGAAATGAACAATAACTATTCATTCATGGATGTCTGTTTCCTATAAACAGTGACGTAACCCCTTCTCCCTTTTATCATTTGAAATTATAGACCTTTGATAACAGCTGTGATGTGAAATCATGACCAATTCGCTTCATGTTATGACTTATAAGCTTGAGCTTCCGCAGCACTTGACTTAATCATGTGACGATTAACGGAATTTTAATTAGACCCCCTGGAAAGTCACTGACAGGTGGCTATCTCATCAACTCAGCTCTCAATTAACATAAGAAAATGAGGATCATGGGAGACCAATGGTCACCAATAATTAGGCATTGTTTTCTTTATAGAGGGAGCAAGTAGCTACAAGTAGCAAAGAGCTCACAAAACTTCGGAGATGTTTGTATAAACTGTTGGCCTATATATATACAGACAGGAAAAATACGTATAATAAGTTGGTCATCCTACAAAGTGAAACGATTTTTTAAAAAAAATTTCGCTAAAAATTAATACAATAATATTCAAAGCATGACAGTAAGTTTGGTTTTGTTCGAAGTTTTATTAAAAAAAACTAACTTAATAATAATAACAACATTTATAATGCGCACATAATAATTATCCACCCCAAGAGATGCTCAAGGCGCCTAACAAGGTAAATACATTAAACTTAAGAAAGTACATGAGAAGTTACAGAGAACGAAAATAATTTAACATAATTAAATATAATTCAACAACGTTAATTACATCAGATTGTGAAATACACTACGTCTTAACTACGGAATTCAGACATTAGGTGTTTTTTTTCAATTTTTTTTTTTACCAATAATAATATATTAACCAAGCGTTGTAAAACTATACCCTAGTCAATAGTCATGCTAGTATACTTCAGAACAGAAATTCTTAAATAATCATGGACTATGTCAAATATTTTATGACACAAAAGCCCTGAGCAATGAGCTGTCAGGTTCCACCGGTAAAGTTCACTATTAGAGTATATATATCCAGAGATTCCCAAACAAGATGTAAGAAGCAGTGGCGGATCCAGAGTGGGGGGTCCGGGGCACCCCCCCCCCCCTGGCGTTAAAAGAGGGGGGGGTGCAAATTTTTAAATTTTCGAGGACCAAAAAAAAAAAAAAATGTGCTCACTACTGACTGTAGTTTGTCGACGTTGTTCGACACAGGGGTGTATCCAGCCGTATACATGTACTTTGACATTTAGAACTTTGTATGAAACGTTATATTTTTCTTTAATTGTCAATATGAAATACTAAAATACTGGTAACCTTGTTGGACGTTTGACGATATTTTGAAAGGCAGCACTACAATATGATTATTCACTGCTGTTTCAACGTGTGTCGTCATCATTATATTTAGTCACACCCTATTTAGACAACATCTTCTTTGATAGAGTGTTGTGGCCGACGTTATATACGCGATCAAAATGACGATAAGCAAAAATAAAGACATCCATGATATAGGACAAAGTCATGAAAACACACTCTTACAAAGTCATGACTGATAATCAAAGTTTTACAACGTTTTTTTCCAAGTGCATTTTGCTGAACGTAATAATGTCTGAATACTATACTATGTTTCATAAAAGTATTAATTGAGGCATGGGTCATGCAGTTATTGCAGTAAACTTCTTTTTTTAAAACGTTATACACCATTTCCCCCGGTTTTACAAACAGATGGAAAGACAACCATGCCCATAAAAGGACTTTGCAGGATAATAAAGGCCGACAGACAATATTGGATAGGACAAAAATTAACGAGTATCAACGATACACTATGATAGCGAGTAGCATGGGTAAACAAAGGTCTCTCTTGAGACCTTATTTCGACGAGATGAAAGGTCACATTTAATATTCCAATGAACCTAGAGTATAGTCGAAATTTACTTGGCATAAAAGGTCTCTGATGACTGTCTGATTTGTCTTCCTGGATAACCAACCCAAGAGGAACTTCATGAAATGAAACCAAAAAAATAAGAAGTGTGCTTCTTCGTGCTCTTTCCTTCACAGGTAAATGACAACAACCCAAACATGATAGAAATCAATCATGCATAGCAGAGTTGAAGTAAAAATTGTGATTGATGTCATAAACTAGAACAATGATCATGATGATACTACTGATATTGTCTAGACAGGAGGATGGGTGTCAACTGTAGCTGATTCCACCCCCCCCCCTGCTCCTCCCCAAAAGGCCAAATCCCCCCCCCCCCCCCCCCCCAGGGACTCATCCTCCCAAACACGGTATAATAAAAAGCTAATCTGCGGAAATGTTACTGGGCCTAATCGTAGACGCAAAAATACATAATTCAAGCTAGATTTTACACTGATCGATAGTCTTGAATGGTAGATTAATACTGTTAAATTTCTTTAAAATGATTAGTTATTCAAAGTTGGGTTCAATGTCCTATGATATTTGATATTCAGAGTTAAGTGGCTGGAACCCTAAACCAACGAGTTAGACATTTGCTACTTGACCTACTATCAAACAACAGGTGGAGCTTAAAGACCTCGGTTGTTTCAATAAGGCCAATTCGGAAAATATTCTCATTATACGCACACTTTGCTATACTTCAATCTAAAGGTTCATTCAATCATAGACCTACCACCAACAGGTCTATGATTCAATAAACATTTGGTAGTTCCAAGGAGTTTAAGAGCTGGAGACCCAACTGGCAACAAATTATTCCAAGCAGCTGCCGTTTTCTATGGTTGCACAATAGAATCTACTGGTGGTGTGCTGTTACCTTTGATGTCCGAGGTTCGAAGTCGCCAATATCATTGGAAAGCTTGAGTAGTGATTATTGTCACGCAGAAATATCCTGAAATACTAACAATTCGATTTTGAACTAATTTGAACTAACAAGGGGAAAATCTAACAGATGATAAAATATGAATACAAATTACAAAAGCCTAATTGTGTCGAGAAATTTACTTTCATCGATGATAGCAGCTTTAATTTGTGAAAAAATAGTAAAAATGTACAGTCCTAAAACCTGCAAATAGACACTTTTCCGATTACTTACGGCTCACGAAACTAAAAAGTAAATTAAAATGGTCGTGTACAGTTCTTTATGTTATAGTCAGATTAGTGCCCACAAATGCCCAGTCGAGTAATTTTGTAGAGTTTTAAAAAAAAAGACATTGGTCAAGTCGGTCAGAATATAGAGAGGCATGCTTCTGCCGAAAACTGAACTTAATTTAATAATTTATCACACTTCAACTGAATGCAATAGACCATTTTACTATTAAACATATTCAAATTTATGGATCTTGCTTTCCTGGGGACCTAGTGACAAATATAATTCCATCACCATGTTAATTAGTGAATGAACTATAAAATACTTGGAATCCAGTCTGCATGCATTGCGTATTGCTATGTTGGGCAAGTCTCGGACAATCTTTCAGTATACATGCATAAAATGTGAATATATTAGTAAACTGGTATATTAAAAAGAAATGTAACAGTAATTTCCTTATCATGCAAGTTTTTAATGCTATCACTGTCAGAAGCAAAGGCAATGACGGATGCATACAAAGTCATGGGAAATGAAAATTAAGTCGGGCAATATTATTCAGTGTTCCTACCAAAATGATGCACAAATAATTTCATTCATTGAAAGATATGGGTAGAAAACGGAAAATAGATACAGGGGGAGAGAAGTGAGGGAGGGGAGGGGAGGGGGGGGGGTAAGGAAAGTGGGCAAGAAAAAAGATCCACTGCACACGAGTTTCATTTTTTTTTTTTAAATAACCAGACCAGGGAGACACTATTCCTGACCCGACCCCTTTCTCTTGTTATGTGTTCTCGCATGCGACCATATTAGCTTCATCACAGTCTTTATTATTAAAAAAAACATCTGCCTTTTACATAAACAATGCATTAGAAAAGTAAATATCCATACAATGGAAGTGAAAGAAGAAAACGTCTTTGTTCGGAATTACCTATTTCAAATAAATACATCAACGTCTTGCTTGAAATACAGACGCCTCCCAGCTTGATACTTTTCATCAGGCGTAAAAATACATATGAAAATGTCAAGAAGTCTGTCAGATTGATCTAATTTTAATATGGAGTCATGATGTATATGAATAGTGATACTGAAAGGACCATACCTGCTGTTTAACTACTGCGGCTACCACGGTCACAATGAGAAGTTACTCCACGGGCACACTCGGGGGTTGACCACACTAGAGTCTGAGCCAACCGTCACACAGATCACGGACGAAGATACATGTATATCTCACAGGTGATGAAAACGTGTTTAAGATGATCTCCGTGCTGAAACGTTTCTTCTCACTTTCTCACTCTTAAACCAGTCAAAATGTGAAAGATTATGGATCTTGTACTTGAGAGAAACAAACGGTGGCAGATATCACGGTTCCACACTCGACTCTCGCTCCTCGTTTTGATTACAAAGCACCAGCGATGCTGTCTGCATTTTGTGTAGCGAGAGCGGACTCGATGCCTTGCTAGCTAGCCTGCCTGGCTGGCATACCGATGTGGTAGATCAACGTATCACAATCTAGGCCTAGGAAACGTAAACACAAAGCTGTGCACACAAAGGCACTGGCACGGACCCACTGACACTGGCATGGTATATCCACTGACATGGTGTGTACAAGTTAGAATAGATTCCAGGCAACACCGGTTTTATTTTTCTCCAATTTTACGATTTTAACTCAGCATGGAGTAGAGAAAACGAATAGTCAGCGGAGTATGATGCTCGAGGCTCAAAATACATCGAAAATATTTCAATTTGCTAGGGTGATATGAGCACAGAGGCGGCCCTCCCGGGGGGCAGGGGGCACAGTGCCCCCACTCTTTCAAGCACCCGAAAAGTGCCCCTTTTTACTTAGGAAAAGTGCCCCTTTTACTTTGTAAGGAGTGCCCTTTTTTCCATAGGAATAGTGCCTCTTTTACTTTGAAAAATGCCCCTATTAATTTGTAAAAGTGCCTCTTCCCCCTTTTCAACTCTGATAAGTGCCCCTTTTATTTGGACACATGCCCCTTTTCCTTCGATAAGTTCCCTTTTCCCTTTGCAATAAGTGTCCATTTTCCATTCTCATAAGTGCCCTTTTTAATCTGTAGTAAGTGCCCCTTTTAAGGTTCGAGAAGTGACTCTTTTCACTTTTGATTAGTGCCCCCTTCACTTGCCCTATTCAAATCTGAGAGGTGCCTCTTTTACTTTGACAAATGCTCCTTTTACTTTGTAATAAGTGCCCTTCTCCTTTTAATAACTACCCCATTTTAACTCAGATAAGCGCACCTTACATTTTCACATGTGCCCCTTTTCCTTTCTAATGAGTGCCCCTTTCCTAATGATAAGTGCCCCATTAAAAAAGAGCCCCTTCCCCTTCTCATAAGTGCCCCTTCTCTGGTAAATGACCCTTTTCAGGTACGAGAAGTTACTCATTTTCACTTCAGATAAGTGCCCCCTTAACCTCCGATAAGTTCCCCTTTAAAAGCTGATCGCTGCCCATTTTCTTTCAACTAATGCACATTTTCCTTTATTATAGGTGCCCCTTTTTCATTCACATAAGTGCCCCCTTTTCACATCTGATAATTTCCCTTATAACAATGATACGTCCCCCTTTTTCTTTCTAATAAGGGACCTATCCCTTTTCATAAATGCCCCTTTTCACCTCCTATAAATGTCCCTATCAAAATCTGGGCCCCTTATCCGTCGACAAATGCCCATTTCCTTTTCTCATGACTGACTTTTTTCATCCCTGGTGAGTGCCTTTTTTTGAGGGTGTAAGAAGTGCCCCATTTTCACCTCTGATAATTAGTCTTTGTACTTTGACACATGCTCCTTTTCTTTTCTGATAAGATTAGTGTCCCCTTTTCCTCTCATAATTAAACGCGCCCAAAATTTCAAACGACTAAGAGCAATAATCCCAAAGCTCGCTCGCTACGCTCTCTCGTATCTATAGATGATATACCTATCAAAAGTCTTTTCAGTCTTCTGTTGTGAGAATGTGCTTATAACCCCATCAGGATTGGGTTTTTCCTCTTTATAAGATGTTATTTTGCGCACTGCGATCTCACAAATATTAAGAAATTTTCCTTGCTCGCTTCGCTCCTTCGCAAATAATTTTTTAGACAATCACACCCAACTGCAAAGAATATCTTGTATGGTGTAAAAAGTGAAACAAAATTATTGACATAATCCTGATAATGTAATCACAATGTAGGGATATATACCAATTTTTAAAAGATTGTATTTTTCGCTTTAAGATTTCCCTTTGTACACTGTTGGTCATAATGGTGGAATAATTATTTTTACCCCAATTTATTGAATGATTTTGACAATGATATATTTCTAATAGATCTAGATAAAAGTATACATTCTCAGACTGTATTGAATGACAACTGGGGAGTGTTTGTTTTGCGTGAATGCTAAAGTATGTGTGTGCTACAATGCTATTCAACTAGGGGACCTACGTCCTTAAGTCACAACTGACAGTAATGGGGATTAATACCTCATAAAAGGGCACTAATATTAGACATCGACACGGTTTTGATCATGGGGGTTCACAGTAAGGAGGACATTGCTTAGCCAATGCATCATGACTGTACGCAGCGGGTGCTAGGGTACGTCGACGCCCCCACAAAAACATTTATAAAAAAAGAAAATGCAATAATTTTTCAATAATTCATTGTATTTTGCCCCGACCTCAACATTAAAAAATCTTCTATGTGGGCATGCCTTGGACCATAATTCATCGTCAAGCATGTCGACAAAGCATTGATCCGAGTTCGGTAGTTTGCGCTATCATAAAATCTATTCCGTAAAAGCGATCGTAAAAGCCTTGTTTGTTCAGAAAATTACACACTTTTATCTCCAGAATCTGGGTAAAAACACTTCATTCAAGTTGTTCCGTAAAAGCGATCGTAAAAGCCTTGTTCAGAAAATTACACACTTTTATCTCCAGAATCTGGGTAAAAACACTTCATTCAGTTGTTCCGTAAAAGCGATCGTAAAAGCCTTATTTGTTCAAAAAATTACACACTTTTATTTCCAGAATCTGGGTAAAAACACTTTATTCAGTTGTTCCGTAAAAGCGATCGTAAAAGCCTTATTTGTTCAAAAAAATTACACACTTTTATCTCCAGAATCTGGATAAAAACACTTCATTCAGTTGTACAGATGTGCTGAAGACGAACTGTCAGTCAAATTTTTTTCTTTTTCAATCTGCGCATAATCATATGCAAATTATACCAAACAAAAATTAGTCTTATGCACATTCAGTGTCACGTATGGGTCGTTACTGTTACACTATATGGACAAATTGGATAGATATGTAAATCATTAAAATTATAATCAGTATACGATGCGAAAATGATTCTTCTCCAGCTTCCGGAAACCACATGGGAATTTTTGTTGTGTCCTGTATAATTTTGAGCGTGAGATTTTTTTCTTCTTATGAGTGACCCTTTTCATTTCCGATGAGTGCCCTTATTCAAATTTGAGAGGTGTCCCCTTTAATTCTGTAATGAGTACCCCCTTTTCATCTCTGATAATTGGCACTTTTCTTTTGACACGTGCCCCTTATGCTTTCTAATTAGTGTCATTTTCCTTTTGATAATTACACTTATTCCGTTGTCATAAGTGCCCATTTTATTTCTGGTGAGTGCCCCTTTTTACTTTGAAATTTGCTCTTTTCTTTTCTAATAGGTGTCCTTTTCCCTTTGGATATGTGCCCCCTTTTCCTTTCCCCATAAAAAAGCTCCTTATTGAAAGCGAATAAGAGCAACTGTTTCTTTAATTTTACCCAAATCTGACTCGCTACGCTCGCATATATTTATAGTTGATACAAGTATGTTTCTTATCACAGATCTTTTTAGTCTTTCATGATAAGATTGTGCGTGAAACCCCACCAGGATTGTCTTTTCTTCTTTTAAGATGATTTTTTTTTGCACTGCTACCGTTCACAATTCTCAAAAATTTTGCTCGCTCGCGAATAAATATTCTTACCATCACAACCAACTGCAAATTTAATTGTATGATGCTTAAACAGTATCTTAGCCCATGTAAAAAGAGAAAAAACATTGAACTCATCACTGAAAATGTAATCACAATGTAGGGGTATATACCAATGTCTAAAAAATTGTAAATTTTTGCTTTGAGGTTTCCCTTTGTAGGTGTCCCTTTTTCCGGGAAGTTGCCCTTCATTGTTGGTGCTCCCCCTACCCACTTTGAATGACGCTTCCCCCCTCCCCCCCCCCCCGGCCTGCTAAAACTCATGAGCTGCCCCCTCGACCTCACGCCAATTTACGCTACGCTTTACCCGATCATAAATACTTTAGCCCAGTGGCGGATCCAGGGGGCCTGGCCTCCCCCCCCCCCCCTAGAAAAAAAAAACGTATAAAAACACGTTAATTTTACCTTTTTGGGGAGATGGGCCCCAAAGGGGGGGGTGCCCCCCAAAAATTTGTGCTCCCTGTACTGACCGGTTTTGACAATCAAGTGATACCTGAGGTAGGTCTACTAGGAAACTGTACCGTGTCAATAACAATGGTTGTCAACATTGTTGCAATGGAAGATCTTGTTTAGAAATAAAATAAATCGGATAAACGTTATACTCTATGGACTCTTGATCTTGTTGAGGGAATCATTACTGTGTTTAGTTATACGTGTATCAATATTAAACACTTACACCTCGATGTACCGGATATGAATACTAGTGTCCTAAAGACTGTTTGTTACACCGGCGTACTTTATCCATGCGGACTGCACAATGCACAGTCCTACTTCTTCTTTTCCTCCTAGAAATCCAAGGCTTATAATTTGATGCTGGAAAAAGCTACAGATTAAAAAAAAAGATTTTAAAAATTATACACCAAATCGCACGAATTGAGTTTAAGGATTAGATTTTTCTTCAGCTCCTCAGGGGGTACACCCCCCCCCCCCCCCCCCTGTCCGTGCAAGCGCGGAACGCCGCTAAATATTTCTCACGAATTGCCCCCCCCCCCCCCCCGGGGCCCTCTTCGCCGCCGGCTGGATCCACCCCTGTGTCGAACAACGTCGACAAACTACAGTCAGTTGTCAAAGGGACTAAATAGAACCTCTATGTGAAAAGGTGGAAAAAATGATCGTTGGCAAATTGATGGTCCCCATGTCACAACCTAGTTCTGCACACAAGCCCTTTCGTAATATTACCGCGGTCCTACATGACTGCTTTATTGGGCAAGCACAATACAAAAGAATATGCAACATGTTGTGACCAAATTAGTTAAACTGAGATGGCCAAACTCTGTGTATAAATAGCTCCGATGTTACCCTTGAAATGACCGCCCCTGACCTTTCTTTGTCTTTCTTCCTTTTCAAAAAAGAAAAGAAACATAGAAAAAAGTACATGGCGCTTGCTCGTCCTCGACCGCCCTCTAACGTCAAACGTTAAACATTATTTTGGCTGGGGTTTTGAAATTCGACAGAGTAGGAGGAAAATGAGTTTATCATTGAGGTAAGTAATAGCTAATTGATTAACACTAGAATTTAAATTGATTAGTAAAACTGCAATTATTTGGCGAAGTTGAAAATTAGGTGTTGCGTTGGGTTGTAATGTCTGTATATCAAATAAAATATAGATTTGTTGTGTGGTATTTTGCTTCTTCTTGTCCCACTTATTGATATCTGTGTTTGCAATGTTGTCTGTGCGGCTATACAGCTACAGTACAGTCAGTAATTGGGAAGCGGAGGAGGGAAACGGGTAATAATAATAGCCTAATAAGTCCACTCCAAATTTTATTAAACCGAAACGGAAATTCTTTTTGCCCAATTGATCGTGAGCCCGGCAGCCACTGAGCAGCGCCAGATCGACGTTGCTCTATCCTTTATTGTTGAACGCCAAACAAGGTTAGGTAGGTCTAGGTCTAGGCTAGACCGAATTTTCCGTCTCTTTCGTTCGTTAGCCTCTTATTGGGGTAGGGTCGGCTCTCTCTTTAGAGACGGAAGCCGTTTATACACATGTCCTTGCTAACGCCACGGCCAGTTCTGGTCGTAGCGTTTTGCCCCCAAAATCCCCCAAAATGTCATTTTACCTCGAGCATGTTATATTGTAAATTAGGCCTAGGCTATAATAAATCAGTTCCACTTACCAACTTGACTGAAATAATCAGTTTAATAGTCCCTTTTTAGGAAATTATGGGTCAAAATCGGAATCCATGTTGAAAAAGATTTTCAAAATGGATTTCGATTTTGACCCATAATTTCCTAAAAAGGGACTATTAAACTGATTATTTCAGTCAAGTTGGTAAGTGGAACTGATTTATTATAGCCTAGGCCTAATTTACAATATAACATGCTCGAGGTAAAATGACATTTTGGGGGATTTTGGGGGCAAAACGCTACGACCAGAACTGGCCGTGGCGTTAGCAAGGACATGTGTATAAACGGCTTCCGTCTCTAAAGAGAGAGCCGACCCAACCCCAATAAGAGGCTAACGAACGAAAGAGACGGAAAATTCGGTCTAGGTCTAGGCTAGCAACAACTCCCATCTTTTAACGTCTTTTGGTATGACGCGGCCGGGGTTCGAACCCAGGACCTCCCGGTTGTGAGGCGGACGCTCTACTGACTGAGCCAACACTCCGGTGGTAGGGCCTCTCCAGCAAAGCAGGGAACAAATTATTTGAACAATTTTTGGGGCTACTTTTCAAGATTGCTTGCATGAAAATAACACTCTTTAATTTGTTTTTGCATTGAACTCTAGAAGTCTATCCAGATTTTTGGGGGCTCTTTTTGGCATTTTCAATTTCCATAAATTGGCGTCTACAAGGGCCCTTCTTATTGGCTATCGGTGGCTGCCATTCGCTCAATGTTATAAGATGCTGGTGCGAGGAGAAAGCTTGCAATTTTCCGTTCATCCGATACCAAATTCATGATATTTCAGTCAAACCCTCTATTTTTATATGATTTTTTCAGCATCCTTATTAAAAGGTTAAGTAGAGTCTCTAGACCTAGATCTATCATCTAGGTCTATTTCAGTTCTTACGTAACTCTTTTTTTAATTTGAAAAATTCAAATTTTCGTCATATTTAAGGTACAAACTGGAAATTTGTACTGGATTGTTTGTTGATTTTTCTATTTTATGTGTGTACCAATGCCATGTGTGAAGTGCGTCACCTGTTTAAAGCATGACATGTCAGTGTGTTATGTATAATAATATTATGTATTGGCAATGCCATTGCACTTAAGTTGCGCTTAAGTTAAGTCAATTTAAATTCAATTCGTTTTATTTCATTCATCATATAAAAACATACATAATTATAACATTGATATTTACAGATAAGTAAGGAACATACAAATAACATAACAAAAGGAAAATACATAAAATACAAATATATATAAGAATGAGGAACCAGCAAGAAAGAACAATTAAGTCCCTCTCTCACTTAAATTCGAAACCACTTGAGCGGATCGGCCAATCGGAGCGGGTATTCTAAATGTACAGCGCTCAATGCGTAAAGTTCAGCCTCATTCATGCCACATTGTAAATCTTAGTAAATTTTTGTGAATAATATTATTGATACAGAATGGGCTTCCTTTAAAATGTGTGCCTTCTCTACGTCATTTCACTTGATCATCACAGTTCACTGAAGCAAGGGATGTGCCCACTATTATGGGTCCATAAAGGGTTCAGAATATATAAATTCTTTTCTCACAAATAATAGATGTATGGAATCTGTATTTCATGATCTGTGACTTTATTACAAATTAATTTATGTCCATTTGTTTTCCATTGCAGATCAGATTTTGCTGTGGAAAAGCCAAGAAGGCGGAAGCGGAGGGAGTTAACAGAGGAACAAAAACAGGAAATAAAAGAAGCATTTGATCTCTTTGACACAGACAAAGACAAAGCCATTGATTATCATGAACTAAAGGTAACCCTCACTTATATTTTACGATATACATGTAATTGTAATTTGATTGTGAATTGGTCAGGTTTTACTTCAATATCTAATTCTGATGAAGAAATCAGTGTGATTAAACAAAAATTAGTGAAAAGAAAGTAAGGAATCACAAAGAACATATTTAAGGTTTTTTTTGTTCTGAAAGAGATGTGCAAGATTTTTTTGGAGGGTGTGTGTTGGGGACTATGGAATTAACCAGTAAAGTGGGCTTTTTGTATTACACTATCAATTTTTAAAAAGAAAGTTTGATTTCTTTTAGGTTGCTATGAAAGCCCTTGGATTTGAGGTGAAGAAGGCTGATGTCAAGAAAGTGATAAAGGATTATGACAGAGAAGGTACAGAGAAGATCTCTTTTGAGGATTTCAATGAAGTCAGTAAGTAGAGTAAAATACTCTCTTTATATTTGATACAATAACTATTTTGCTGTAATTCTCTTTCTTAACTATTCATAGAGCCACAATACATTTGTAAACTTACAATTTGCATTGATGAAAATGCAATGATGTGACACAACTCACACAAATGTGAAGCATTGGATAGAAAACTTATCTTCTAAACTTATCTGATGTGTACCGGTACTTGTTTAGTTCTGAACCTAAATAATCCTCATGCTGTACAGTGCAATCGTACTTGCATTAAAGGCATCGTTTAACAATGTTAAATCTGAGATGCATGGCCCTACATGTTATCAGTGTCTGTGATATGGTGGAATATTGAAGCCCTAAAAACATTGCGCTTCAAAATGATCAAGAAGTGCCTCAAAAAAGTAAAAATCTTTGAGTGACAGGTTTTTAAATACCATACTCGTTTTCCCCAATGGACTGTAGTGTTATGAAAACTGTTAGGAAAACGCAAAATTTGATTTCGATTTCCAATCATAAATATCTTGATAATCAGACAGGCTTGTAAAAGTCATGGGATTCCTGACTGACCTAAACTCCCAAAGGTTAATAATTATCATTGCAGCATGAGCTGTATCCAGGATTTTGTTTCAGAATCTGAGACAAAGTTACCCAATCCCTTTAAGAGACACAACAAATGGCATGCATGAATACATGTGCATTCAAGTATGAGCCTATTTCCGATGCCAAGCTGCCATCATGCCAAAAAATGCCTTGGTGATACCACAGTAAACACTGCCAAACTGACCCAAAACCGGGGCATCGTTTCATGAAACCATCATAAGTACCTGTACAAGTTCACCAACACCCTCAGAATATGTAGTTGTGATATATAATTTCCAAACGGGAATAGCTGATCGGTCGATTTTAGTCAAGTAACGTCGTTCTATAGCTTAATTAATATCTTGACCTTGAGAGGGAGCCATACAACATAAAGAGTTATTATTTACAATTTCATAATTTTAGACTCGATTTCAACCGCGACAATGATCACTGAATATTGTAGGATCGCATATGCTTCCGATATGTTCATTTGAACCAAATTCATGACCCCATACCAAAACTTTGTATTACCTTTAATATGACAGTGTTATGAAACGATGCCTGGGACTCCAAACCAATCAATAACTTGGTCGGTCAAGTGATGTCATTTTTGTTCAGGCGGTTGTTGGTCTGTGGATGGTCTGATTGGTGGGACAGGGGCATCATACGTTTAGCTCCTTGTAAGATCTACTCTCGTTTGAAGATCAATCTCATAATAAAGAGCACATCTGTCTTTAATTTACATCAGTCACAGATTGGATGTTGGAGAGAGACCCCCATGAAGAAATCTTGAAGGCTTTCAAGCTGTTTGATGATGACGACTCTGGTAAAATCAGCGTTCGGAATCTAAGACGGGTTGCTAGGGAGCTGGGGGAGAACATGACAGATGATGAACTCAGAGCCATGATAGATGAATTTGATCATGATGGTGATGGAGAAAGTGAGTTAATAACTATGCTAATTTGTTTACTGATACAACTTTAACAGTTATTGTTACACTTTAGAGTCTATGTATGCATTGAATTCTAACTTTAGAACTGGTTTGATTCAAATATATTTTAAAGGGGGAAAATTGTAACCAAACTGAATTTGATGTGTGTGTGTGTGTGTGTGTGTGTCTTAAAGCGGGACTGCACTACTTGTAGCTACTTGCGCCCTCTTTTTGCAAACAGTGCCTAAGTCGTACCCGTTGGTCCCCCATGGTCCCCTTTTTCTTATGTTAATTGAGAACCGATTTGATGAGATAACAACCTGTCAGTGACAATGCAGGGAGGTCATCCCTCCTGGCCAAACTAGTGCAGATAGGCTTTAAATACAGCACACTCACAATTATTTTTCACTTGATTTACAGGTTTAGAAGCAATTGTTAATAATTAAGATGGTATTTATGTTGCCTTTATTTAATGGCAAGTATTTTGTTTTATGGTTAATCTGTTGGGATAGAATTTTGAAGAAAGCAACACTATGAAAAAATGTTTGCCTCATGTATTTGAATTTTATTGTGTTATTTTCTAAAAATTCTTCTTCTTTCTCCTTTAGTCAACCAAGATGAATTTCTAGCCATCATGACAGGAGACACATGAGTTTATGTGGATCATAAACTCTTCAAGATAACTCTGATGTGATAGAAGATGACTACATGTAATCCTGAAATAGAAAATGGACTTTGGTATGTGTAAGGACTAAGGAGTCTGCGTGAGGTTGAAGGACCAAGATGTGACTTTCGTGACTTTAAAGCCAAATGGGAAATCGCCGAAGTCCAGTTTTTAACTCTTGTGCTAAAGCATTTTGTGGGAAGTCTAGTAATTGGGCAAAATAAATTGGGTAATCTTGTTCAAGTCTAAGTTTCAATACACATGTACATGTATTCCATTTATAGATGTTTCACATTTGTAGAATGCAAAAATACAAATTGTTAGTATTCTTAATAGAGGATGATTATGTAATGAATGAGCAATATGAAACTATCGACTGTGTTCAATTAGGCCCTGACTAGCATGACTACACACAACTAACAGAAGTAGTCATTAGGCAAGTCATGAGTGTGCCTATTTTTTAATGACGTGAGATGATGAAACAAACCTGTGGGTGCCAAATGCGTTGGATAGGAAACTATAAGTGTGTGTGCCATTGTAAGCTGTTTGAATGCTAAAGAGTTGCTTACCGGTAAATCAAAGTAATTATCCGAATGCAGAAATAGAATGCGCTCTCGCCGTGTGATATGGTTTTCACCTTTGTTGATGTTGATCTGGATCTAGGTTTTTTGAAATTTGCTTTTCATAATTAACATAATCTTTATTGGCATTTTGGATTTTGATTTGAGAAAAACAGACACAGTATACAGTTCATTAAGATCACAGAAGGCCTCATAGCAAAATTAATTCATTTTGTGGAGCTGAAATAAATGTGAAATCTTTTGTTTATTTTGACATTGTTATCTCAAAATCTTTCAACTGTAGAAGTGAAATTATTTCAGTTTTGTCACCCACCCAGATTCTCAGGAATCCTCAAGATATTCCATGTTTTTCATTTGTATTTTACCATACATTTTTTTTTTTACTATATAAGTTCAATTATTGTCTCTTATCTCAGCAGCAAAACATTTGAATAATAGTACACTGATTGACACATTGGACAGGATTAGTTATCAATAGTATTTTCATCAGTATGTGGGTTCTTGGATCAATATTTTTTCCTGCACAGAAAATAGCAGTCAAAGATTTCAAGGATAAGAGCTGAGCTAGTCACATATAGAAAATTTTCATATCTTGAAGCCTTCTGAGAAGAAAAAAAATTGTCTCTGTAGCAACTGTGCTGATAACGCCAAGGTAATATAGGATACCTAGATACGGTAATAGATATACATGTACAGTGTTGTATTTACTTTTTAGACACCCTGTGCAATCCATGGGCCTTTGATGCATAATACTGTATTGTTTGTGTGGAGCCCCACAGAATACCCCCCCCCCCTATTTTTTTGTATATCTTTGACTATGTATGTATGACACAAATATATTTCTAGCCCCCATATAGTCCCTCCTCTTAGTTAATTAGGTACCCCCTCCTGCGAGAGTGGCCTCACCCACAATTAACCTAAACACACCAGCTGGGATACCAGGAGTGGCTTCTCACTTTGTTTTGCCATGCATCCTAGTCAACACTTTTCTTATTTTGTCTTCCTTTCATAGGTAAGAAAGAATCTCTTATTATTCAATTGTGTTATATTCTTGTTCTTCATAATATGTGTATTTCTAAACTATTATAACTTCACTATTCACATATCTTGTATTACTGTGTAAAAAGAGATATTAATGATCTTTGCCAATGACTTGTTGGATTATATGACATGTGGACTATGAGAGGAAATATAAGAAATGCCATGTGGGAAGAGATGCCATGTGGGGAGAGATAATGTCATTGATGAACATAGTAATCACTTGTAGAAATGATAGGAAAGTATTATCGTGTGTGTGAGATTGATGATTATGTTGTTTGATTTAGACAACATTTTAAGTAAGTTTTGAGAAGAGAATATACTTTATTACTGTCAGTATATTTGTCTTTTGCTCGATATTCATGTGTATATATATATATTCTTAGCCAAGGACATGTGCCATTTACTATGCATTATGCCAAAGCACATTGTTATATATTCTAGTTCGAGTTAGATACAGTTTGAATAGCGAAATGAGTTGTTCAAGTCCAGATTATCTTTAACTTACAGTATTATGGTCTGCGTGAGTGTGGACGCACCATGTGTATAATATTAGTGTGTTATTAGGTTATGGCAGTGCGTGCAATGTGAACACAACTTCTTATCAGAGTTCTTAATCCCCTCTCCCCCAAGCTTGACCATCCACTGCCATGCATTACACGCACACAGTGTAGATAGAGTATATGCTATACCCAAATGCTATGTTGAGAAGTGTTAGAGATAGAATGTGTTTGTTTTTGACACATGCTGGAAATGGTATCTTAGGCGGGAATGAAAGTTTGGTAGAGTCAGCAAAATGAGAAGACAAAGGATTTGAGTTGAGGAATACACTTGTTGAGAAACACATGGTCAAATTGTCTAATAGTTAGCTAGTGATGGATGGGTTGATGAAATATTGTAGTTAAAGACTTGCATAATCACTGTCTGGAATTCATTGTATTATATTGCTAGGAATGATAATTCAGGTTAAATATTATTGGGAATTACTCTCTGATCCCCTCTCTCGTTATATTCTCTCCCTCTCTTTCTTTCTCTCTCTCTCTCTCTCTCTCTTTCTGTATGGTTCACCTTTTCTCTTTCACTCTCACTTTGCTTTGTATATATAACCATGAAATGAATATACATGTATTTAGTAAAACTATTGGTTGTTGTTTAGAATTAGAATATGAACTGTATGTGAAGATGAGATTATACAGTAAGAGGAATTCGTAATATTGGTTGTAAGTTTGCTAGAGCTATATAATTAGTGCAGACTGCAGACTAAGACTATTTGCCAGTTCTGTGAATATTGTAAGGAGTTTAGGATATAAGTTGTTCAAGATGTATCTTTTCAAGTTCAGTAATCTCGCTGAAAAAGATAGTATTAGATCAAAATGATGCAGATAACTATTGGAAAATACATGAGCTATAGTTAAGGAAGAGTTATAAGTTTATTCAGTATTAATGTGAAGTCCTGAGACAAGAAGTAACTTGTGAATTTAGGGATTAGTGAAGGCTGAGAGTAGAATTACATTCTAAGGGTCTATGTGCACAAGGGATCCTCAGTCTTGGAGCGTAAAGAGTTAGGAAGCTTATTAGGCAATAGTATAGGGATGATTATGCCAACATTCTTGTATTAGGTCTATATATGTGATTTCTTGAAAGAGACGCTACGTGAAGAGTTATATGATTAGAAGCTAAAGTAGATTGACTGATACCGCAATGTTATAGACATTTGATAAGGGTTAAGTTATTTATTAGTAGCCAAGTTATGATTATGAGATCGATGAAGAGTTGCGCTTTTAAATAAAGCATGGAAGTAAGGATAGTTTCGTTTAGAGATAGTAAAGTAATGAAGCTAACCAGATGATGTTCTTAGTGATATAGTAAGAGAACACGGAGAGCTAATGAATTCAATGTATGCGAACAGGTAGATTTATTTGTGTTTAATACTTGAAGAGTATTGTTAATGTTATGCCATTTGATCGTATATATGTTATTGTAAGAAAAGACTGTTATTGTAGAAGATTAAGTAATAAAGACTTTGTTTTGCCATGCATCCTAGTCAACACTTTTCTTATTTTGTCTTCCTTTCATAGGTATGCCCCCTCCCTCGGGGTGTGGGCGCTACAAATTTGGCGACCTTGCCAGGACGGCCATCGTCGAAGAGACACGAGGACGATGTGCTGTCCTATGACACGAACAGTTGGATCAATCGAAAGAGAAGAGCAGCGCAGTGCATGAGCAAACGATACAGGACCAGAAGACAGAGTGACGGAGAGAACCTGATTTGACAATGACGTTGGCTCAGCATCACAGAGAATGGGACGAGCTACAGAGAAGAGAAAAGGCTACCGTGCAATACGTAGCAGGGTGCTACAGCAAGGAGATATGGTTCTGGTGCGAAGTCTGGCCCCTCCAGATGGCGGAGCAGTGAGTGGAGTCAAGGATGTCCAGGGGTTCTCCAAGCCGCCATCCTCAACAGCCCAGCCCCCAGCACCGTTCCAGTACCGGTATGACCCACCATCCTACACCCATCAAAGGCCATTACAGATACAGACGCCAGTAGCCCACCAGCAACCAACCCACTACCAGCGTTAGATGACAGAAGACCAACTTCAATTTTTCCAGCGAGCGAGTCAATCATTCGACCCACGAGGAAGGCCTCAAACGGATTCTTTTTTGTTTTTAATATTTTGTTTTACATTAGATGCATCGTTATTTAGAATCATGTGCTAGCTGTTTAGTAAACCAGAAATACGAGTAATGAGAAGTAGTAAGATGAAACAAGTTGTACATCGTTTCATGAATTGTGGTGTAATATAAGGAAACAAGCGATGACACTCGATAGTGATCAATTGATCTTTGTGATAAAGTCTTCGGGATGAGTCGCGAGCTTCCCAAGAAACCTTCACCGTATGTCAGGCGCGCCCGTAGAATGGGTTAATGTTTCGCAAAGTTTATTTGTATGGAAGAAAAAGCCACGTAATTCTGATACGATATTATGATATGTAATTCTGAGACTTCAAGTACCTATTAGGTTTCGCTATAACAAGTTGCAACAAGTGTATATATGAACTCGATGTACTACATGTATTTCGCAGAAGAATTGGAGCACGATGATCTGTCAGCGTTGCAAGGACATAGACTTTCATGGACTTTGGTGATAAGTCTCACCTCCCTGATTTGTCCTAAGTTCGATCAGGACGACATTGAACGAGAACTAAATGAACATTAGATTGTTGTGCTATATTAATGAATTGTTATAAATGTTTGAAAGTTGAAATGTCCAGGAGACATTTATTTTTGGAGGGGAAGGTGTGGAGCCCCACAGAATACCCCCCCCCCTATTTTTTTGTATATCTTTGACTATGTATGTATGACACAAATATATTTCTAGCCCCCATATAGTCCCTCCTCTTAGTTAATTAGGTACCCCCTCCTGCGAGAGTGGCCTCACCCACAATTAACCTAAACACACCAGCTGGGATACCAGGAGTGGCTTCTCACTTTGTTTTGCCATGCATCCTAGTCAACACTTTTCTTATTTTGTCTTCCTTTCATAGGTAAGAAAGAATCTCTTATTATTCAATTGTGTTATATTCTTGTTCTTCATAATATGTGTATTTCTAAACTATTATAACTTCACTATTCACATATCTTGTATTACTGTGTAAAAAGAGATATTAATGATCTTTGCCAATGACTTGTTGGATTATATGACATGTGGACTATGAGAGGAAATATAAGAAATGCCATGTGGGAAGAGATGCCATGTGGGGAGAGATAATGTCATTGATGAACATAGTAATCACTTGTAGAAATGATAGGAAAGTATTATCGTGTGTGTGAGATTGATGATTATGTTGTTTGATTTAGACAACATTTTAAGTAAGTTTTGAGAAGAGAATATACTTTATTACTGTCAGTATATTTGTCTTTTGCTCGATATTCATGTGTATATATTCTTAGCCAAGGACATGTGCCATTTACTATGCATTATGCCAAAGCACATTGTTATATATTCTAGTTCGAGTTAGATACAGTTTGAATAGCGAAATGAGTTGTTCAAGTCCAGATTATCTTTAACTTACAGTATTATGGTCTGCGTGAGTGTGGACGCACCATGTGTATAATATTAGTGTGTTATTAGGTTATGGCAGTGCGTGCAATGTGAACACAACTTCTTATCAGAGTTCTTAATCCCCTCTCCCCCAAGCTTGACCATCCACTGCCATGCATTACACGCACACAGTGTAGATAGAGTATATGCTATACCCAAATGCTATGTTGAGAAGTGTTAGAGATAGAATGTGTTTGTTTTTGACACATGCTGGAAATGGTATCTTAGGCGGGAATGAAAGTTTGGTAGAGTCAGCAAAATGAGAAGACAAAGGATTTGAGTTGAGGAATACACTTGTTGAGAAACACATGGTCAAATTGTCTAATAGTTAGCTAGTGATGGATGGGTTGATGAAATATTGTAGTTAAAGACTTGCATAATCACTGTCTGGAATTCATTGTATTATATTGCTAGGAATGATAATTCAGGTTAAATATTATTGGGAATTACTCTCTGATCCCCTCTCTCGTTATATTCTCTCCCTCTCTTTCTTTCTCTCTCTCTCTCTCTCTCTCTCTTTCTGTATGGTTCACCTTTTCTCTTTCACTCTCACTTTGCTTTGTATATATAACCATGAAATGAATATACATGTATTTAGTAAAACTATTGGTTGTTGTTTAGAATTAGAATATGAACTGTATGTGAAGATGAGATTATACAGTAAGAGGAATTCGTAATATTGGTTGTAAGTTTGCTAGAGCTATATAATTAGTGCAGACTGCAGACTAAGACTATTTGCCAGTTCTGTGAATATTGTAAGGAGTTTAGGATATAAGTTGTTCAAGATGTATCTTTTCAAGTTCAGTAATCTCGCTGAAAAAGATAGTATTAGATCAAAATGATGCAGATAACTATTGGAAAATACATGAGCTATAGTTAAGGAAGAGTTATAAGTTTATTCAGTATTAATGTGAAGTCCTGAGACAAGAAGTAACTTGTGAATTTAGGGATTAGTGAAGGCTGAGAGTAGAATTACATTCTAAGGGTCTATGTGCACAAGGGATCCTCAGTCTTGGAGCGTAAAGAGTTAGGAAGCTTATTAGGCAATAGTATAGGGATGATTATGCCAACATTCTTGTATTAGGTCTATATATGTGATTTCTTGAAAGAGACGCTACGTGAAGAGTTATATGATTAGAAGCTAAAGTAGATTGACTGATACCGCAATGTTATAGACATTTGATAAGGGTTAAGTTATTTATTAGTAGCCAAGTTATGATTATGAGATCGATGAAGAGTTGCGCTTTTAAATAAAGCATGGAAGTAAGGATAGTTTCGTTTAGAGATAGTAAAGTAATGAAGCTAACCAGATGATGTTCTTAGTGATATAGTAAGAGAACACGGAGAGCTAATGAATTCAATGTATGCGAACAGGTAGATTTATTTGTGTTTAATACTTGAAGAGTATTGTTAATGTTATGCCATTTGATCGTATATATGTTATTGTAAGAAAAGACTGTTATTGTAGAAGATTAAGTAATAAAGACTTTGTTTTGCCATGCATCCTAGTCAACACTTTTCTTATTTTGTCTTCCTTTCATAGGTATGCCCCCTCCCTCGGGGTGTGGGCGCTACATTTGTATTATCTTTATACTCTTCAAAGGTGTAGTGCATTGCATTGTTTGTTGTGGTTTTATATATGAAGAAAAGTCATAATCGAGTGGTTTAAGCACTTGACTTGAAATTCAAAGGTTGTGGTTCGATCCCCGATACGGCACCAATGTCCTTTGGCAAGGCATTAATCTTCATTTGCCACACTCGACCCAGGTGAGGTAAATAGGTACCTTGCAGGAATTAATTCCTTGAAATGCTGGAGTGCTGTAATGGCAGCTAAGCTAAAGCTGGGGTAATAATTAATGCGCCTCCCAAGGAATTTCTAGATAGACGGCTCTATAGAAATGCCGTTAATAAATTTTATTATTATTTAGGATAAAAGGGGTTTTCTTCTCCCTCCTTCATAAATGAGATTTCCCATGAATACAAAATTTGTATGTTGACTATCATTAGGATGAGCAATCTGCAGTGAATGCTTTTTCTGAAGAATAGTAGTACGGTACATGAAGTAGCAAATGATGTGCCTCCTTTGTGACTTCCATCTTTGTATTCTGCAACAGGTTCTATGGTGTATTGAATATCTTCTTACAGCGGGCAGGTACATGTGTATGCTCTAAAAATGGAATAAATACATGAACATTGTGGGCGGAGGTATGTTTGTGACAAATTATCATGAATTTATTTATGTGTAAATAAACAGTTTTGATGTAAATGCATACTTGTTTGAAGGTTTGTTTGTTGTTGTATGTATTTTTTAACAGGAGTTTCCACTATACATGTATTAAATATAAATGAAATCTGCTTAAAGGTAAAGACCAGTATTGGAAATGCCCCAATTTCAAAAAATGAAATGGAAGCTCTCATTACCAATCATGTGAAAGAATATGTTTTGACTAATACATGATGATAAAAAATTTGCCGGGAAACCGCCTACTAATTCATATATTTGGTAAATTTGTTTCTCTCATGGTCTGTGAGAGATATAGGGTAGTCCCATATACATCTTTCTGTGTATAGTGCTTGTAACTTTACGAAGAATGGGCCAAATTTCTTATCATTTTGATGATTCCAGAACCTTGCAGATGCTAGATGCTAGATGATCAACCTTTTTGATCGATTCCACAACATTTCTTTCACAATGCAATCGCATGACCATAACTGGTCTTTACCTTTAACACCTCTGGTGAAAACGCAAAAGTGAGTAATGAGCCAGGAGTGATTTAAAATAAATAAATAAAAGAGCAGTTCTAGAAGAAGAAGAATATGTGGGGATGGGGGGGGGGGGGGGTTTCCTTGATCTTGCCCCTCTAAAACTTTAATTTTAAAGTCAATAATATAACTTAATACCAGGATAGTTTTGTTAATTATAGTTTACATTCTGTTGATCTGAACGACCGATCTATTGTATGATAATTTGCAATTACTGAATTCATGCAGTTTCTCTTGAAATGTAATCTCTTGTTAAACATTACCATCTTATTTGCTTTCAAGAAGAAATCTATTAAAATTTGAACAATTTCTGGACACACAAATATTACTAATATGCAAAGAAATACACATAAATAACTTTTATTGTCATTTTTCTAAAGAAAAAACATGAGAAAACATATTTAGAAAACTTTCTACATTCTTGCTTGGTCATTCAATAATATAAGTAAATGTACATGGCATGAGCATTAATTCTGTTGATGGTCTAGCAAATTTACAAAGAGCAAAACTAGAGAAACATATTTTACTCTTGTCTGTTGAACATGCATGCTGATACGATTAAGACTTAATTGTATACTACAAATGGATTCAAACCCAAAAGCCAGAATTCACCAAGGAGGTTTAAAGCTAACCCAGGGTTGGAATCTTCATTTACATAGCCCATGGTCTAAAATTAGTGCAAAATAAGCGCGGTACAGTCATAGGTCCAATATTAGAAGGCGCAAGGCAAGGTATGCTTATTTTGCGTTAATTTTAAACTGTGGGTTATGTAAACGAGAGTTTAAACCATGGGTCAAATCTAAACCTCCTTTGCGAATTCGGGCCAGGGTGTTTACTGTTTATAAAAGGTGCAACACGTGACTATTCCAGAATTTCAAAATTACAATCCATTAGTGAAAGAATATATATATAGGTTTTGAAGCAATGAAACCGCTAATTAACATGAAATCAGGGAAAATGTTGGTTTAACACATTCCAATTTATATACATGTATTTATACCTCATCTGCCCCCCCCCCTTTCCCCTTCTAAATTACAGATTTTGTACCACCCCACCCCCCCCCCCCCCCAAAAAAAAAAAAAAAAAAAAAAAAAAAATGCCCTTAATTTTTGTAATTCACCAATAGTTCAGACAAATACTGTAGTCCTTTTTCCATAGCTATTGGGGTCCTCGACAAATGGGACAGAAAACAGATTTTCTATAGATCTTTTCTTGTGGAATCTGGAACTGTCTTGCATACACATTTGTTGTCTGTTCATAGCCAGACTCCGGAGCCAGACGGGTGTTAACTCTGTGTTAAAAGTATATTAAATCAAGTCTAAGCCATTCTGGCTAAAAATGTATGATTTGATGGTAAATAGACAAGGATTTAAACATGACTTTTCTCTGACAAATTACAGCACCTTTGTTTTAAAAGCTACATATGTATCAATTCTATGACCCTAAAATTAGATCAGATTATTATGATGCAAGATAACCTCAACAACCTATGATAAGAAAGGTTTTCTTCCTAATCTTTTATAAGAGAATAAATGTGCGAAATGGCAAGTGGTTATTGCAGGAAGTCAAAGGCTAATCTGACTCTCAGAACATGCACACAAAACGTTAACATATACATGTACCTCCTTTCAACAAGAGCTTACATGTTCAACTATATAGTCTTAACACATTTCAAAAGATTATCAGTTGACCAACTAAGGCAATAGTATGTTTACAATGTTTCCTTTACTTTTTAAGGAGTCATGGAGTATTACTGGTAAATTAAACATGTACATGTACTTATTATCCTGCCTAATAATTACTGTGATGACCTCTCCAAGAAGACACAGACATTCAATTTCTAAAAAGATACTAGTAAACACAAAAACATTACCACAAATATATAGAATGGATACTATTTCTAAAGAAAAAATAATTACACTAATATAATCTATGCAAAGAATGATCAACACCTTTCACATAGGTTTGCCTATTAAGCAGGAATTGTTCGTTTGGTCTTTCTCTTTGGTTCCCCAGCTCAAATTAACCACTTAAATCAACTAGATGTAGGGCCATTTGCTTATATTTTTCTATATATGAAATTATAAACCCAAAGTTTAAATCAGGTCCCAAATACACAATTCTGATTGGTTGTAATTCAAGTTGTGGACAGCTTAATTAATCAAGGAAGAGCCTCCTGCTAAATTCAATTCTTACACTTATTGTAAATAATAATTGGCATCATAAACAAAATATCATTAAACAAAATATCTGAAGAAGACAATCTAAAACAAAAATGCATGTACATCAAACAATGTTTCCATTACATATACAGCAAGAAAATGAAAAACATAAATGTATAATACTTGTACATGTACAATCAGAGTTAAGCATCACATATATGGTGGTACAATCACTATGTTACAAATGCTTGGAAACAGAAAACTTCCATGAATGTGTACAAAAAGAAAATTTGTCTTCTCAAATCTGACATGTATGGAAGAGGCAAACATGCAGAAATGGGTGTCAGCCATAACAACCAAAGAACAAATACAAATTAGAGCTTGGAGTATACTCCACAAACAAATAAATTCCTTACAAAACATGCACGTTTCAGCAGCTAAATGCCTCAACTTTAAAGTTGTTTGGGGCTCTTTTTCTTCATTTACATTTACTCTTGGCATTTTTTATTTTTACCTACACCGGACAAAATAAGTAATAACAATACCATGAATGAATTAGTTTACACATATTTACAATTATATAATGATGCATCTACGGCATATTCAGTTATCCTTCAAATAGGAAAATTATTAGTATCTACATGTAAGTACATTTACAGTGTACATTTTTCATGCACCTTTTATGAAGACAACTCAACTTCCCTAAAACCTATCAACTCTGATTGTTACACATTTTTCTATGATAAATCATACTTTTACCAAATTTCATAAATACATGTCCAAGACCTTGGATTCTAGAATTTTTGTGCCAACAATACAGTACTCCCTTTAGCAAGATAACCTTAAATAATACAGCAAATGCATACCCTAGCTCTCAATGTATATCTCAAATGATGGAACAAGCTAATACGATGAACCAAAAAAAGAAAATGTCAAGTCTCTGACTCTCTGGTAGCACTTTTTAACTTTAATAGCTTTAGCTAAAATGTACCTTGTTCAATTACCTATTAGTTTTCTTTATTTATTTCCCCTACCCCATTCCATATACACTTCCACACCACAAAGAAAAGCATAGGAAATAGCAAATTCTAAAATATTTGCATGATCTAAGCTATTGAGAGGTTAGCCATAATAATGTCTAGCATTTTATAATGAAATGTAATTTCACATTTCTTTAACATTGAGGATAAGGCATAAGTATACAAAACTCAAAGGAGGCAAGTTAGCTCAGTCAGTAAAAGCGCCTCCCTGTTGAACCAAAAGTCATCGGTTCAGGTCTAAACCAGGTAAATGACTGCAGCCTGTGTTGTGTGTAAATGTGCCCCTCCCCTATTTCACAGACACATGCTATGTTAATTTATGTAACACTCTGTCCCTCGGATAGGACGTTAAAGAGAGGCTCCATGTAGAGGAGAGTCACTACCTTTGCACGTTAAGAACCCACTGCACTATTTGAATAAGAGTAGGGGGAAACCCCAGTGTAGTGGTCCACCCGCACGACCCCAATCATTTATATCTGGAGAGACAGAGGGTCAGTGATTCAGTTCACTTTTTTTCCTCCCAGGCACAGGTGACACCAAAATACTTAATAATAATAATTATAATTATTTAAAAGAATTCAATGCCTGAGAAATTATTATTGCCGTCAACACAACATCAATTTTCAATACCAATCCCAGACATACACTGTATACACAATCCTGAAACAAATCATGTGTATAAAGACTCGTTGATGAGCAAATGAAAAAAACATTCTTTACAGAATTTCACCAAGAAGATGTCATGTGTTGCACATACATGTACCATGATAATTACCATACTATTTCAAAGTGAACGAAAAAGAGATAAGTTTTGATAACTGAATTTACCTAGGGATGTGTTCAATCCTTTGCAATTTATGAATGGAATATATAAGAACATGGGCAATTAGGAGACAAAACCTGTGACAGGCTACTTTGCCATATCAATAACACAGGAGGGCGTTTCACAAAACTTGTCATCAGTGACAAATGACAGTTTTTGTTATAAGCTACTGAAATCCTTGCTTCTGATTGGTTATCAGCAGATTTGTCACTGATTTGTTTTCATTTGTCATTGAAAAAAGGCTTTGTGAGACCGGCCCCTGATCTGTAGGTTACATGTAGACCGACCTAGCAGCATCATCTAGCATCCTGTAGAGGTCCACCCACAAGAACAGACTGTACAGTGTACCTGATATGCATGAAGAGAAAGAGAGAGAGCACACACACAGTGGTACTACATTAATTCTGTACCGCTGCATCATTAAACGATATACCACCTGCTTTAAGGGAATGATTGAAAATTGAAATGCAGCCCAGAGATGTATTTGAGAATTGAGATTGCACAATGATGATCTGAGATGAATTTTGGGGAGATTATATATGTACATGCAGAACATTCAACGATTCAGCCAAATGTAATTCATGTATGTTATTAAAAACTTTTCACTTTTTTTCTCTTCAAAGGCCAAGTCCATTCCAAAAATAACTTACGGTACTTATAATAGAAGCAGAAAAATCAGACAAACCAATCAAAGATAGATTGAGCAAAATCGGATGACTAATAAGAAAGTTATTATTTTTTAATGACATGAAAAACAAATTGGCGACTCACTCATGAGTCTGTGACGTCATTGCCTCACTATCCAATAATTGTTTTCTTTATATTGATAATACAAATTTCCCATTTCCCCCTAAGAATATTATTTCCTAACACCAGCATCCAAGTTATATTGATAGTAATAAGTTTTGTGTGGATGCACTAATATGAGTTATTTTTTCAGTTGAATCATGAAAAATGTGAATTTTGATATTATTTAAAATAAGAACCAACAATTATGAATATATAATATTCAGAAAATAGTATCAATACTTCAGAAGCAATTTTTAAAATTAAAGGTTGATTGTATAATCCGTTAAAAGGTTCTCAAAATATCGTGATTACAAGCTATTTTTCATATACATATGACCCCTTGACTCCCAAAATCTGATCAGTTCATTGGCTCTGCAAGATACATACATGACCCAAGTTTCGCGGGCATCTATCAATCGGTTCTTGAGATAACGTGATCACGAGAACGGGACGTATGGACTGACAGGCACGGGCGAACGGACAACCCAAAATTATAATGCCTCCTACAAATTCGTAACAGAGGCATAATGAAATATCTGTTTGAGGTGTAATGAAAATTCAGAGATTTAATTCTCATCAAGTAACAATGAAAATGGAGTGTCACTTACGCAATTCATCTGCTCTAAAAAATAAAAAAAAATTTTTTTTATACCTTTGGTCCGGCAAAGAATTTTTTTTGTATCTTTCTTTTAGCGCTATCTTGAAATTTTCCAATCAATGAATTTGTTTCACTTTTAAAGGCAGGCTTTACTACTTCAGCAAGAAGGGATTAGACCACCCATCGAGCCAGCAAGGTCACTGTGACAGGTGGCTATCTCATTAACTCAGCTCTCATTTAACATAAGAAAAAAAAGGATCATGGGGGACCAACAGGCACCGATTGGGGAAGTTTTCTATATAGAGGAAGCAAGTAGCTACAAGTAGGACAATGTGCCTTTAAGACTAAATGCATGCATACCTGACCAATTATCAGTCCTCATCAGAGTCCAGAACAATCACATCTACCAGCTTAGAACCGCCCCTTTCATTCTTCTTGGTGTTGGGTACATTTAGGTAGGATATCCACTCCATAGGCGTTCTCTTGACACACTTCTTAGCACGATGGTGCGCCATATGAGTAGGAGCTTTGGTTTGGTAGTTGCAGGTTTTACATGTCAGGGTGATTGTGCCATCGTGATTCTTCTTTTTAGAAACTATACCAAGTTTGGGTGGATCCCGACCTATCTTGTGGAAGAGAATCATGTGGTTGCTGACAGATCTGGGGCAGTACGACGAATAGGGACACTTGTCACAACGCAGCTGGATTGTAAAATGACTGCCAAAATTGGAAAAGAGAAGACCACACTCCATACAAGCTAGTTTCTTGTTGAGTGAAGCCTGCTGAGTGAAGCCATACTTGATTTCAACTTTCTTTGGACTGATTGTATGTGTTGGTGGTAAGTTGGTGACTCCAGCAGAAGCCATGATCTCAAGAGACTTCAGAGTATCACGCACATACCTTGGCACCCCGTCTCTGTCTTTATAATCATACTTCCTGTGATCTTTATCTAGATGCTCGTTGCGTTCAATCGTTGACAAAAAGGACAGCTTACAATTCTTGCAAGGATATACGCCGGAACCTGTTGCTCGCATTGCCAACTGGATGTGTCTCTGACAATGTTGGAGAAAAGTCTTGCTACAACGGAGCATCTTCAGGCAGTACGGACACATGAGAGCCTTGTATCCTTCATGTTTTAGAGAGAAGTGCTCAATTATATCAGCGTAGGCAGAGGTACGGTACTGACAGATGCGGCAGCAAAAAGGCATCTGTGCAACACTATGGAACATGTTCATATGCTTCAGCAGCATGGAAATGTTACTGAAGGACAGGTCACAAGTGAAACATTGGTACATTGATCCCTTCATGTGAGAGCGTTCAAGGTGTTCCTGCATTTCAAATGGGGTACGGAAACGTTTAAAGCACTTGGGGCACACAACCATAGAAGCAAGCGATGTCTTGTTTGCCCACAAGTTCTCTGCAATCTTCTTGACATGTGTAGCATACTGCACATTGCTAGCCATAGTTTCCTCGCAATGGAAACACTTGATCTTGAAGCGCTTTGAAGCATCCTCAGTTTGCACCAAGTTTCCTTTCTTCATGGGATAAAATACAAGTAGATCCTTGGAATCCACTGTCGCTTTGGGGCGTTTGGTTTCAGCAGTCACAGCAGTGAGAGTGACTTCAGCTGGTCTTTTGACCCCTCTTGAGACATTCTGTATGGCAGGTTGACGTTGAATAGGACCTGAAACATTCTGAATTGACTGTTTCATGTAAGTTTGGAGGCTATCGGTAGGAATATTAACAACCCGCTGCTGATTATTCACAGTCACCCCAGGTTGAACAACTTTGGTTGTTGCTTGAGCAATGCCATTATGTATCACATATGAACCTGGACGCATGACACCTGGCAGTCTGTTTGTCTGCTGTGATGCACTCAACGTCATTTTGATCCCAGATGCTGTTGTTGTTGTGATCTGCTGTCTACCTGTGAGTTGGTTTCCCCCATAAGCTAGCTGTTGCCTTCCATTTACAGGGGTTCTTACAGACTGGAGAGTGTTGGTCCTCTGAAGTAATGGATTTGGAACCGTTGAAACACTTGGTATAACTCTTCCGCGGAAGCTGTTATTCACAACCGATTTACTTTGATTAGACACTGTGGAGGTTGAAGTAGGTACTGCTCTCAGAAACTTGGTTGGACCGTTTGCAACTTGGTGCTCGGAATCCTTCAAGCCGACTCTAGTGTCAACAGCTTTGACAGCTTTCTGGTATTTTTCTTCTTCCTCTTTGTGCTTCTTCATAAGGTCATCGTACTCCTTCACTTGTTTATCCCATTCTGCGTAGACCTTTTGCTGACTCTCAGACAGCTCTTCGTCTGCACAGATTAGGTTGATGAGAGGCTCGGCAGAGACGCCTGCTGCTTGTGGTTTCAAAATGGAAACCATGTTCACCGGCCCTTCTGTTGCACGATCTGTAGCAAGACAAAATAGAGAATTCAATTTTTTATCTCCTCAAATATAAGGTCACTCAACTTAAATGTAAATGCATTAATGTTATCTGGATACTTGATTTTAAAACAGGAATTTGAAGAAGTTTAGCACTATTTCATAAACATTTTAAGGCTTTGTGTCAGACAATATTATAAAGGACAAATGATGACGTTTAGTGCTACTCAATGTCATGCGTAGTTTTCATTCAATAAAACCAAAGGCAAAAGTGACAGCTTTATTTTGTTCAGCATCCTGACATCTAACCCCCATCATGTAATATTGATGGAAGGGTGACCATTATTTTGTGTGTTATACCAAGCTCCCAGATGACCATCACTGGTAAGGTGGGACATCTGTTACCAACAATGGAAACCATGGGTGTCGATCCTTACGTAATACCTATTCATCAGGGGGGGATGAATGAATAGATCATCCCCCCCTGATGAATAGGTATCAGTTACGGATCGACACCCATGATGGAAACAGTGACCTACAATTACTTTGTCACTAAATTTCCTGTTAAGTTAGATAAGGAATTATCTATATGTTAAAATTTGTTTCTATTAATTTCAGTAATACAAGAAGAAGTACAAGTACAAAGATTGAGAAAATGGAGATATGAAAATGCACAATAGTCACATAAAATAGTACATGAAGCTTTAATACAATCCAATTTTTCGAAATGTTTGTAATATACATGTAATCACATACAGCAATCAAACAAGAACTACAAGGCTGCAAAAGAGATTTTTACTGCAAATTTATTTTTTTCCCTAATTTTTTGGATCCTCCGACAGGCCATTTTCATTGAAAATTAATCTCTGAATAACATATTTGAATACATGTACAAATGAATATCATATAATAATTCAGAATAAGAAACATGTATACATACGGTAATGAATATCAACCATAATAAGCGATTTCTGAATTACTGATTACCTTACTGCATATTGAAAATAATAATACTGTATATACAGAAAATAGTTTTTTTTTTTTAAAGCAATATAATGACTGAAAATTATTTGGGAAATTCAATGAAATAATACTTTAACGATCAAAATCCTCTCAAAATTAATCTGTTTTTTAATCAAATTTGTCAGTTTTGTTAGAAAGTATACTAACTTGCCTCTCATTTGTGTAACTATTCCTGATATATTGTTTTACAAATTACTAGCAGGACCCGCGGAAATCTGCGGGATTCTAGAGGGGGGGGGGGGGGGGGGGGGGTGTATATAGACTGTAAATTAAAACCACCGAGAACTTTATTTGCCATTTAGAGGACACCATAAGTCCCCGATCCAATGCTAGTTATTCTTTAAGCCCCTTTTACACTGGATCTGCGTAGGGTTGCATAGTGTGGCGTACCAACTAAGCAGGGCTGCGTATAAATGAAAAAAACGTTGCTTCAACGTAGTCCTTGCGTAGGTTATGCATAGGCTGGCGTACGATGGCGTATGGTTACATACCCTGTCCATAGGCACCACGTAACTCTACGTATGGCCCGGTGTGAATGGGGCTTCAGATACCGACAGTAATAACATATAGCTGCATTACTATCCTGGCCCTGTATTAAAATCTGTTTACACGACCTCAATTGATTCTCAACATTTTAAACACCAAATTTTGTACAAAACTCAACTGATTTAACTCAAAATTGGTACTGAAGTGACAGTTGGAACCGGTGGACTATTTACACTCAACTCGCTTCGCTTGTTACGATCAACCTGATCCCCCCCCCCCCCCCCCCCCCCCCTCCACTTTGAAAAAAAATGTTTCGCAGGGCCTGCATGTAACATGTAAGAGTGGTGCATGGCGATGCAGATTATTTTTCTCCCCCCCCCCCCTCCCCCCAAACGATTTTATGGTACTTCGGCATGCCACTTTTGTGTTCACTGATACTTCAATGGATGGATAGACATATAATCGTATAGCTGTACGAATATTGGCATGCTTGGCCCTCCATAGTCTCTTCGACTCTATTAGCTCACACACAGCACAGTCAAATTCCGACAGCAGCTACACTACACTGTACATGTACAGTGCGTCCCAGAAAACACGAAACCGAGATTTATCGATGTTTTATTATAACTTGGTCACAATTATAATTGATAAATGACACATGTTTGGACAGCTTAGATCCTCCTCTTTCATTTGACGAAACTCATATAATTCATACTTCACGCATGAGTGATTAAAATGAATTTGAAGAGAGGAAACCAACAAGTCATTTGGCCGACGATATCTGAATTTCAAAGAGAAAATCACATTTCTAGACAGTTGAGTTTGTGCCCTTTCATATGACACCTTAGTTAGGAAAAATGAGCTAGGAATAACAAAGTTCTGTTTGTTTAAAGTGGTGCTTGTATTTCCATAATTTCATTAAACAAATTCGTTTTCACTGGCTGCCTGCCGTAGCAACCAACGGAATTAACAAAAGACTTAACTCCGTTTCGTTGACAATCAGCCATGCATGAAGTCTTTCGTCTACACATGCTTTCCAAACATGTGTCATTTATCAATATTAATTGTGATTAAGTTATAATAAAACATTGATAATTCTCGGTTTCTTTTTGTCTGGGACGCACTGTATAGTACGTGTGTTGACTCACGGCAGCTTGCAACTGAACTGTCAGTAACGATGATTTTCTCTGATTGAATAAGATGTGCTGCATCCTCACGTGCAGCCTCCTGTGATGCAATGTGGTTTGCATGGTGGATTGGTTCGGTGCTTGGGCCAGACCCCTCTGTTTGATTGAGATGTGCTTCATCCTCAGGTGATGCGATGTGATTTGATCGATTTTTTGTTGTGAGGGAGAATTGCAAGTTTCTGCGTCGCTCCCGCATCTGAAAGAAATTAAAAGAACAACATTATTAAAATCAATTGGGAAATATGCTTAAAAGGGACTTAAATAAAAAGGATTCCACGCCAGCTCCAGAGTTGATTTTTATTGTCATTGTGATGTCTTTATTCATGTCATGAGATTGAGAATGAGAGACACATTTATTAACAGGAGCAGGCTAGAATGGTTGCACTGGGTCATGAAACTAAAGGTAAACAATACAAAACATGGTGTAACATTGCGAGCAAAGAAAGTGAATCCTGTAACAAAATTTTAATGTAATTTTGCGTTGCGAGCAAAGGGCGGAGCCGGAAACTGCTAAATATGATAAGCTCACTGATTTTGGTTTGCTTTTAAAAATGACCAAACGATGAATGAAGGCTGAAACATTATTAAAGGGACTAGCAAAACGGACGGTGCTCTTTGCTGTGGCAGCCATATTGCGTTTGTCTGTGGCATCAAACTTTTCAGCCTTTTCAGCCGTTCAATATTTGGGCTAGTATCAGAAACCGTACAGTTTGTACCCTTTCTTGCATGTTTGTTTAAATGTAGTGCTTGTATCATGAAACGAAAAATTTGTGTCTTTTCAAGCTATAATTAGAGTTAATATGTTGCTTGTATATCAAAATTAACAATTTGTGTAACAGGTCCCATCAAGCTATTATCTTTTTGTTTTGGTTTTTGGGCTGCCACAAAAATTGGGGTCTTTTACACAGGTGAGCGTCTCATACACGGAGATATACGGTACTTGGCTATTTTTTTGCTTGTATCACAAAATGAACAATTTGTGACACATTATTGGTCTTTGTGCCAAATTATGTTCTTGTATCACAAACTGCACAATGACCTCTAAATTTAGTGTTTGTACCATAAAGAGAACAATATGTACTCTTTCAAACTGTAGTTTAAGCGATTTTAGATGATGCCCTCCCCCCTCACTCCCTGCTTACACAATTTTTAAAAAAAACACACCCCGCCCCGCGGCAAAGCCTTTAAACAGACGGAGACACACATATTCACTCAAACACCAACATTGAGACACACCCACATTTGTTACGTGCTTCATCTTCCTCTTCCTTTGCCCTGGAGTTGTCAGATACTTCCTCCTCTTTCTTTTCTGTAAAAACAATGAGATAATGGGACATATCAACCTCCCATGCATGAAAACAACATTCATATTTTTTCTGCAAAGTTATCAAGGATCCTCTATATGTGCACTTTAATCACATTTTATGAGACTGTATTGTCCAGCTTAAAGGGAACATAATGATGACAGAACAAATAAACTATTAACCTCAAATATATTTGTTATTATTTACTAATAATTGAAGTGATTTTTTGTTGCGCTATGGAAGACACTTTCATTACTACTAATCATTATTATTATTCATTAAATACATAATAAAACTTAAATATGTTTAAAAATAACCTGCATTGCTCTCACTTTGATACTTTCACTTCCTTGGGGCGCTGATACTGATAGAGATGGTACATGGGAGGGATTCATCTCAGCCACACATCCATGGGGCGCTGCTTCAGGTGGTACATGCGATGGGTTCATCATACATTAGTCGTAGAACTCTGTGGCACTGATAAAGATTGACATTTAAAAAAATTGTATTTATAATTGATTTCATCATGAAATAAGCTAATAAATATCAAATAAAGACTTAACTAATTTAAATTTAAAATATTACATTTTAATTTAAAAATATTGATTTTCTATAATCAAAAAATGCAAATCATTATCCTGTCCAAATACTTTAACCTTATTAGTAGAATTACACTCTTTCACAGTTTTGGTGATATAAACATACATATCATTTTTTGTTAGTTAGGTGATCCCCACTAATGTCTGCTATATTTGGAAATACAATTCACTTATAAGTTAGTGCTGGAAATATTGACAATGTCCCAAGTGGGCGCAATTCCTAGATGTGTGTTAGTATTTGTATTTCGCTACACCAGAATTTAACAGCACCACACCAGAATTCGTCGCAACAGTGATATGCAAGCGAAAAGCACAGTGTTTCTGTGACCACGCAGACTCTAATAAATAAAGGGGCACGCAACGTGCATATCATAAGAATTGCCGAATTCTGGCGCAAGTGTCAAATGCAAGAACACAGATATTCCTTCCGATTGAAATAAATCCGTTAATAATATTCAAGCTTATTCTTAAATTTAACATCTGATCATGGCCATTACAATGACACAAAAACAAAGGTGATTTAAGAGTATACAACCCATGTACGTTGACGTAGAAACTGTCAACCGAACCCCCTAACGCAAGCTCATAATTCAGAATTGCCACTGACGCGTGTTGTCTCATCCATAAATTATGACCATTTAATTTTGATGACAAACTATAAGCAGTGCATATTTTGAAACCGTGGAAGCGTACGCATAAGTTGATCAATGGTCTGCAGCTGCATCAGGACATAATCATTAACTACCAGAATTAATACGGTATAAACAACACGACGTTACATAAATCATTCTGACTACCGATTCCAGAATCTCAGAATCGTCAATCAAGTAACTACAAAGCCATTTAGGTGTCATCAATTGTCACTAAAGTACCGATTTTTAGTGAAATCAGTTGTGTTTTATACAGTGGTGTTTTGAAATGTTGAGAATCGATAGCACAGCTAATAATACATAGCCAGGATAGTAATGCACCTATGTGTGCCTGGGCACATGCACAGCACGCTGGTCCCTTTCAAGGAACTGCGATTTATATAGATTTTATGGGTAAATTAGGTGGATAGGAATTCATTAATATAATTATGCTTACCTCTAATCTCTGTGTTAAGACGTAGACGGGATGCAAATGGGTTTATACACTGGGTCCGAAACTCTCATGAGAAAAATAAGCCTAGAATCACATCTACAGACAGTTTTGTGGCTTCACGCTGATCTACGGTAGATCATGCAAAGGATTTTATTTTTGACGCATGTCGCATACATCATCACATACACTCATGGCCCGCTGAAGTGCGTATAGCAAGACGCCTAACACAGTGTACGCCCAACCCCTTGCATCATGTATTTACTACAGCCATCACGTGAGTAGATCGTCATTTGCTGTGTATTTCTCTGGCCTGCCTGTGCTGCATATCATAGAGCAAGATTCACAACACAGGGTAAGCCGCACCCGTTACACCGTGTATCTGCTACGCCCGTCACAGCGAGTGGATTCTCGTCCGCCGTGTGTCTCTCTCTGTCTCTCTTCGATTGGACGGAGGGCGGGTGCACGCCTTGCCACCTCGCTCTCGCGGGTTTGCAATCTACCGCGCCCGCCGTGCTCTCCTCAGCCCGTCCTCCCCGGAACCCCGAAACCGCGCATTGCACGGGGACGTGGCCCAGGATGCAGATTAAAACGCCGTCCGTCCGCGGGACCGCCCGGCAGCGACCGAGGGCGGGCAGGAGGGGAGATTTGGGCAAGCAAAAATACCCCCCTCGACGCCTTAGCGTATTATTGTAGATAGCTGAGTTCTTGTTTCAGACTGCAAATGCCTTCAAAGTGCATGGTTACTGCTCTTATTCTTATTTATGACATTTCTAGTGTTATGAAGCTAATTTTAGGCCCCAAATGTGTGAAATATAAGCCAATACAATCATACCAATACAGCTCTACTTTAAAAAAAATATGGTTACTGTCAATTGAAGGTAAAGACTAGTTTTGGAAACGCCCCCTCTCAAAAAATGAAATGGAAGCTCTTATTTCTGATCATTTGAAAGAATATGTTTTGACTAATATGTGATGATACAAATTTTGCTGAGAAACCGCCTACTAATCGATATATTCTATTTGGACCTGATAGATATCGCGCACGTGTCGCGTAGTCCCATATACATCTTTCTGTGTTCAGAGCTTGTAACTTTACCAAGACTGGTTTGCAGGTATAAGGCATACTGTAGCGTAGTTTTGCGAAAAATTGTGATAAAAAAGCGTACTTTCTGCATCAAGTGTCTACGCCGAAAGTACGCAAAAAAATAGACATCGGGCCATGTATTCGGTACGCAACTCTCTGTATGGCCCAGTGTGAAAGGGGCTTCAGATACCAAAAATTATCACACATAGCTGCATTACTATCCTGGCCGTGTGTTAAAAACTGTTTAGACGACCAAAATTGATTCTCTACATTTCAAACACCACTGATTTCACTCGAAATCGGTACTTAATCCTATCTAGACCAGGGGGGGGGGGGCTTTAGGAGCCCCCCCCCCCCCTCCCTCGACATTTTTGTGATAATTTTTTAACGCAAGAAAATCTTGCACTGAAATTTATGACTTTTTTCTTTCGAGTCTTGCACATCTTTTGAAAGAAATTTTTCGAAAATCGGACCTACCAGTACAAAGTCACGTGTCCTTTTGTCTTTGCATGTCAGCCCGATAATCGCTCATTTTTGTGATTTGTGTACAAAACATATGGAAATCTCACTTTTCAAATAAAGAGATAAAACATTAATATTTGGTCTTGTTTATAGTTTAGGTGTTTATTTTGGGGTCATGAAGTTGGAAATGAAATAAAACAACAAAAACAATAAAATACATAAGTTAAAAAACAAAGAAATAGATCTAGGCCTACATATTAGAAATTATCAAAACAATCGATAACATAAGGAATAACCTGGTTCTTCCAAATTTTTTGGCTGTATTATCCAAAATGGTCTAAATAATATATGTAGTGAAAATTAATGTTAAAATATGAAGAATATATGATTTATGGATAAAAATGTGAATGTTATTCCATATTTGCATAAATTACCATAAATTATGCAAATGAGTGAATTTTTCAAAAAAATTGAAATTACCATAGTATTCTATACACTTGACTTGACATGCATGCAAATTTTTGCGGCGATAGGTCGTTTCACTGCCGAGATCATAAGGGGGGGGGGGGGGGGGCCTTAGAAGCCCAAGGCAGCCGCTGAAAGCTTATCTGACCGTAATTTATTGCCTTAAACCCCTGAGCTTCTGGGGTCGGATAAAGTATCAAATGTATTTATTTGACCGCAGGCGCGTAGCCAGGGAGGAGGGCGGTGGGGGTGCTCAAAAAAAAAAATTGCCGGACCCCCCCCTAAAAATTAAAAAAAAAGAAAAGAGAAAAGGAAGAGAACGTAGGAAGAATAAGATTAAAGCAGACAAGGAACATCTTTGAAATTCAGACAATTCAGACTCTAATGATTTGATAACTAAAAGCTTCCTCGCTTCGCGTTGGAGGGGGGGGGGGTGGGACTGAATTCAGACAAGGATTATTTTCGAGAACAGTACAACAAATCGTCTTCTTTCTCTAAAATGATTTAATGAAACGTAAAAGTTTCGCGCTTCGTGTGGGGTGGGGGGACCTGAATTCAGACGAGGATTAAGAGTCGAGAACTGTACAACGAATCGTCTTGTTTCTGTTATGATTTAATATTAAAAAGCGAATAAGCTTCCGAATTTTGCGCGGGAGGGGGAAAACTGAATTCAGACGAGGATTAAGAGTCGAGAACTGTAGAATGAATCGTCTTGTTTCTAATGTCATTAGCCTAGACTAGTAATGATTTAATGAAACGTAAGAGCTTCCACGTTATGCACAGGAGCGGGGGAAAACTGAATTCAGACGAGGATTAAGAGTCGAGAACTGTACAACGAATCGTTGTTTCTTTAAATTTAATGATTTAATGAAACTTCAAAGTTTCTGCGTTTCGCGAAGGAGGGAGCTGGAGGGGGAAACTCACCCTTCCCTGCACCCTCCTGCATTACATCACTGCTGGTCACCATTACCCGTAGGGTCTAGATCTAGACTACCAATATTTGGCTCGCATAATTTCAAATTTGGCCCCCCCCCCCCTAAGAAATCCTGGATCTGCGCCTGCAAGCGCCTCTTTTAGTAGGGTAAAATTTGGATACGTTTCTGAACAAGACCTAGACCCCTAGATCTATATCAACTGCTTTCGACGCACTGCACTGTGAGTCGAGCTAGCCCGCCACTGAAGCCAGCACCAGCTAAGCTGGGCTTCGTTGGACCCCTTGCGCTCTGCTCGCCTAGCCGGTCAAGTCAGCTCAGTCGACCTATTCCACGAAACCTGCGCCAATTCACCATGTTCATTGTTCAACTCACCAAACAAAACAAGCCGTGGAAGACACTGGCTGTGTGACCCGACGTACGTACGAACGTTTATAAAATAATGTGTGTTTTTTCACGATTAATAAGGTTACCAGGAAAAGTTCAGCGTTCCGATGATCTTGCCGACGATGTAGTGCAGGCAACTTTCGAGAATAAAATGGCGGGCCATCGCATTAATTAACTGCGCAAAAAGACGCGACGCACGACGTTCCCGAACTACCATGAATGACGCCCGAGCCCGCCCAATTTGCTTGAAAGTCGCACTCATTGGGTTCGAAAGTAGCCAAACATTTGTTAATGCCGTGGTCTCGTAGAGATCTTCCACAGATCGACGCTCTGAGAGAGAGAGAGAGAGAGAGAGATAGCTCTCTATAGGCCTATAGACGAACGTGGCTTCATTATCTGTTTGGTTCAAAAATTACAAACTAGAAAGTATATACTAGACTCATAGAGATATATACTTAATAACACTAGAGGGCGTACTCGCTCAAATTGCTGTGTGGACCTGGAGCTGTGGCCGCCATTACTAAGGAGGGCAGAAAAACGAACGACCCAACAAGATACTGTGCACAACATACGTGGAAAAAATTGGAGAAGCCAGGTTCGTGCGTTGCATTTGGATGTTCGAACCGAAGAAAGAAAGGGAACTGCATAATATTTCACAAGTAAGTTCTTATTAATGTTATGTTGATTAATAAGGAGATTTTAGAGCTAAAAATGTAGTTTATGCAGTGACTGTAGTATGTACCCGGGTTGTCTCATGACAAGCCACCGCAGCTCCTGCAGCAGCGGAGCGCGCCAGTCCACGCCCGCCGGGCTGGGGCAGGCATGGGTTAAGGTTCTGGGGATGGTGATGGGAAAATTCTGCTGCGCTGGAGTCGCTCGCAACTCCAAGAGCCAGAGAGTCCAACTCGGAAATATAACTCCATGAGCTTGATTCTATTAAAGAAAAGTCTAGAATAAAACGATACAATTAATTTTATCTTATCTAATTTCAAGATAAAAATCAAATGTCAACTTCTTTAGATCTATATTTTAACTATAGACTAGACTCTAGATCTAAGTTAGATCTAGACTCTAGATCTAAACTCTACTCTCTAATTTCTAAAGCCCGAAAGGCAAAGCCAGGTTAGACAGATATAACCATCTGATATGGGTCATTTCTTTAATAAAACTGACATTTGTTGACATTTCCCATAATATAATCGGAGGTCTAGTGGAGCCAGACGCAGTCTCAGTAGAACAACGGACGATATAGAGAGACTAAAGCTTTTGGTCTAAGCCAGGCTAGCCTGCCAAATTTCACATCACAGGAGTTATCCAACTAGGCTAGGCTAGCCTAAAAATCCCACCGCACACTACACTATTTCTATCAAATTTGCTTATGACTTGCTGACATCATTATTATTTTATTTATTTGGCTGGAAGCTGCTTTCAGTTTCAGTCTTAAAAATCACATGAAATAGCATGAATAGTAGAACAATTGTCATGTTATGAGAAAAAACTCATTATTGTTTCCATTTGCTTTTATTGTAATGCAGGAATACACCCAAGGGAGGAAAGGATGTTACACACCACATCTCATTCTTAGAGCTGTGCCTACTGTCTTTCCTGGACATCCTCCCTATAAACAGACCCATGGCTCAAGACTCCCAGCAAAACCATGTACAACATCCAAAAGTGTTCCCGTGCCTCCAAAGAAACCCTATGACATTACAAAAGAACATGACTATTCTTTTTCTGTCTGAGTTGATTAGAAACTGAATATAACCAGACAGCAAGTGCAAGATGCCAAGAAACAGCTTAAAGTGGTGAAACAAGGTAAACAGGAGAGATGGAAAAACCAGGACTCTCTTGCAGGAAGTCCACGAAAGCAAGCTCATTAGCCAGGATCAGCTTGACCTACTTCAACACAACTTTGGAGAGAACGCATTTTCAGGAAAAACAAAACTACAAAGACAGATCGGTCTTTTATATTTTGCCTCTTGTCTGCAT